AGCGACTAGTGCTGGTTTATATCCTCGGGTAGGGTTGGTTCTAGTTTTCAGCTAGCGCGTTTTGGGATGCAGTTAGACAAGCTTATTTAGACAGCTTATCAGTGTAACCGTCGTCGTGTCGTGCGTTTGGGACGCCCACCAAAGCATATGGACAGTTTGGCGCATACTAATGCNTCAAAGGGAGTGCTCCAGTACGATCGACAATCTTGAATGCAGCCCCGCCATTTGTGGCTTATCGTGATGTGGTCGATCAGCGTCCGTCGCTGACTCGAGGAGAGCGGACACCAGGTGGCGTACCGGCAGTTGGAGCGTTTGAAGTTCGTACTGGCGAGGAACAGGCGGTGGTCCGAACATACAGCCAACAGCGTTCTCCGTTTTCCGAGCGACAGGAATCTAGTCCGAAAGGACCTCCCAGATGCGCCCCACTCGAAGTTAACTGGCCTACTCTAGCATTTATATCTCCTGCTAAAATCACGATATCAACCCGGGTCGCTTTACGCAAGAGGTCATGTAGATTGTGGTAAAATTCAACTTTGACTTCATCTGACCTGCAGTCCGTTAGAGCGTACGCCGAAACGATAAACAAGTTTCGTCTATCGTGGCGACGGCAGCTTATCTTGCACGAAACTCTAAGTCTCACTGTGCACAACCTATTGTCGATTGAGATCCAATCCAGGAGGAGGGCCTCAGATCTCCCACTGAGAACCACGCAGACGCCAGCAACACCGGAAGCCGCAGCCTCAGGATCTCCAGAGAGGCGTAAATGAAACTTCACTGATGGGTTTGATGGGGACGTCAATCGGATAATGGAACTGGAATCTTGAATGCGAGTTTCTTGGATGCTGGAATTTTGAGTGTACGAGCTAAACACGCCTGCTGTACTATACGCATCACAGTACGCACATTAAAAGTGGCTAGTCTGAAAGGACATCGAGGGCGAAGAAGGGCTTCAGCCGGTGGAGGATTCAGTGAGACTTGGATGCTACTCGAGGTAGGATAAGAGCGAACAGCGGCAGAATTTCCGCCCAAGGCACTACTGTTAGTACGATCGTCTGAAGCACCCGAGAGAGATGGAGGGGGGTGGAGGTGAGCTGGGGGATGCTGGGAGAACAAGAGGGTGTGTACGGTGTAGAATGTTTTTCACAGGATGAGGAAGCATCAGAGCACACAATTATAAGAGCAAGGCGGTTCATGGTTGTGTGCGTTGTGGACTATTATACTACTCAGTCGCCTGATCCGGAGTAGACCTTGTTCGAGGATGCACTCTAGCCTTTGCGCAACCAAGCGCGGACTGCAAGGCAGCCGTAGTGTTCCAGATGAGCCGGTGGCCAGTCTTCGGTTCATTCGCCTCTTCTGGAAAACCTTGTCGAGCAATGGATCTCGACAAGGAGCAATGGCCATACTTAGTGACGGGCCACACTCCCCACGTCACAGATATTTGTGGTGTTTTGTGCGGAGAATCCTTGCTAGGGGTACACCCGCCACCGATTTACTAACTACACGCCAATCTCTGCTTGCAAACCAAACATTTCGAGGACAGAAGATAACAAAAACTATCGCCGCAATGGTCACTTCTCTAGCTAGTTGCAGTCAGTTTTGGNTTTGGAATCGTGTCATACCTATTTTAACTGCTTAATCTTTATACTAATGGATTGACTGGCTGCAAATTTATTCTTATTCCACGAGAGCGTACGCGTATTAATATCAAACGCTAAATAGGTTTTCCATTCGTAACTGGACTGGCAACCAAAATCTCGATTTTGGCAATGCAACGGTAAAGGCACTACTCTGCTTCATCAAGCTTCCTGAACGCGTCTTCCTGAGACCCAATTCAACATGTGTGTGAGACCCATAAGGTGTATATACAAACCCGTGAACAATCCCAAAACACCATCCTGTTAATAAAGTCTGAGTTNACCGGAGAGTGGATTCAAAAAAAACTGTTAAAATATTTATACTGCATTGTAAGGGACCAAAACTGTGGTAATATTTACGAGGTTTGGATCGCCGTGCTAAGCGCTCACAACAGCACATTTCGGAATCGCCGTATTTCATGGGATGAAAACAGGGTTTCGAAGGAGAACAACTTACGCCAAATTATCTTTGTATTTTTCAAATTTGCGCTGCAGTACGGCAAATGCTCCTCCCGGCTGAGAAGCGATTAGCTGTGGAATGTGCAGGTGGGGCAAGGAAAAAAAACTTATGAACTTCATGTTGGCAGACATTCTCGGTGTGCAACATGTGATAAACAGTGATGATTAGGAGATTAGCAAAGATGACTAGCTAGAGCACCTAAATAAGCAGAGATGAATGCTAACAGTCCTCCTTGGGTTTTGCTCATCTGCTCCGTGTGCAGACACATTCCTCCAAATCCCGGATAAGTAATTAGTTGATGTATTTTATGTTGCGGACATACATTAATCTGCAGTCGCTAAGATCCAGGTTTGGATCGACTGAAACCAGTTTTGAACAAATTCCGACTGTGCGTCATTTTCTGTTCACTGTCTCTCCTCCCTCTTCCGCAGCATCTGCTTTGTCAATAGAGAATCCGTTTATTTATTGTACTGTTTACCGATTCCCACTGATCTGGTACGGACTGCGTTTTTCCGTTGGCGTTACTCTGCAACTTGCACAAACCCAGGGGATTCTATAAAAGATATGCAGCTGAGTGAAAACAGTAATAATTTATAAAACAGTTTCCTTCCTCACTCATTCTCCCATTCTCTTTATTTTTGTCATGAATTTGTGGTGCGTAAGCCTATTTGTTGTGCTCGATAAATTATTAAATTCAGCCAAAAAGGTGGAGCTACAGAAAAAGGCCGGGGTTAACCTCACTTTAAATGACCGGGGCGGAATATCATCGCGAGCAGTATAATCAGTAGAAAATAAATGATTAGAAAGTGACTCGTCATATCACGTCGATGGACATTACACCGATGGCAGAAAAAAATAGGTCGAGTAGATCGCAAATTTAAGTCACCTCGTTAACTGGACAAGAAATCATTTTCAATCCGAATCGAACTGACAGAGAGAGAGAGAGAGAGATAAACCGAAAGAAACATTACCAGATGCATATGGTGGACTACAAAGGACGATCAAAAGCCAGTGCTCACCAGTGTTCCCCATTTCAATGTTCGATGCGTGTCTACTCGATTCACCTTCGAACAGGATATTAAAGAAAACATATTAGCACAGAAATAATAGAGCAAACAACGAAATCGGTCAGTTAAACATTTGAAGTTTTACACACCCGAAGGTTTTGTTACATAAACGGACAGAATGAAAAAAAAATAGGAAATCCGATTTTACAATGCAACTGCTTTGGATAAAAAGCCCATACGGTAAACACAAATTTAGAAAACAACAAATTACTCTGGCGCGGGAAAAAATCATTGCATCGGACCGCTTACCTTGTCGCGTGTTTTTTTTTTGTTGTTAGTGTACCAAAAATCTAGATTTTACGACCACTAACGACACTTTCAAAACTCATGAAACCCATTGTCATTCGGTAACTTGGTTAATTAGATTATGTGCACAGAGGAGAAATCAGCATAAACGTGCAGCGGAATACAGTGAAGAAAACGTTACCAATCGCTGCTAAATTCACAATAAATACGAAGTTAATTGTGGTAGCTGTACAAAGCAAGGGACTATCTTGAGGGGGGGAGGGTAAGTGGAACCCTATGGTTCACACACCTAAAGCAGTCTAACTGTCCAAAAGCACTAATTCAAGCATTTCCACCGGTTAAGTGATGAAAACAGGAACACCGTTCCTGCTGGTTCGCTGTCACGTTCCTCAGCATCTCCAACCAACCAATTACGGAGTCTTTTGAANTATGCGAGACACCTTATCCACCTAATCTCTCCGCGCATTGCTTTATGCCATGCCATCTTATGAACGTCTGGTGATTTTTTTCAACATGGTGTAGCTCTAAACTACGAAAAAAAATAGTAGAAGGCCTCCAGATGATGAACGTTATCAACGTGCAAACCTAAATACCCCAAACCGTTAAGTATGAATGATTGCACAGTCGTGTACTGTGCGCGATATCTCAATTTCCAAAAGGTTGCTCGTTCCTACAAAAGCCGCTCGAGTCTTGGAAAGGCGGATAGTCTCCTGCTTCACTGTGATACCGCTGTTTGCCATACAACTAGATAAGTAGTACAAGCAATATGTTACAACTAATTCCTGAAAATCGGAGTATTACTCGTAGATTTACTTTGCATATTGAAGGTGCAAAGCGCATATCAAACGGGTTGAGCAGAACTTGTTAGTTAGCGCGTTTTTCACACGTTCGAACAGATAAACGACGTTGTCGTTGTACTCCGAATCGCATAGCTTTTCTTCAGCTGCCCATCTAAGGTCTACTCTTTGGAAACCGCCTAGCGTATTCTCATGTATTTCGTCTACGACGAAACAGATGTGATAAGTGAGCTACTGCTCGAAAATCCCATACTGTGTTGAACTCTTTGTCTTCTATACACAACTCTCTCCCTTTTCCCGTTATTCCAACTCATAACGTTAAATCAGACAACTTGTGAGACTCATTGTCAAATGGCACTTCAAGTATTTTACAACGAACTCAACTCCAGATTCTAAAGCCTCGTCAATCACTAAATTTAGGGGCCATCAAAGTGATGACTATGATGCAGGTGGATCAACAAGCTTGTCTGGAGCGTGCAAATAACTCTTAATAGATTGATTTCTGCTGTGTATCGGATAAGTGAATCCAGGACCCTTGTACTATGAGGTACTCAAGTGCGCCGGATTTGTCTTCCAAGTACGTCCTTCGTACATCAGGCGACGACGAACCTTCGACAGCGCAGAGTAAGCAGTGTACTCAATATTAGAGTCGATGCCTCATTTATCGATTAGATCCCCGCCAACAGTCGCTAATGTGTAATGCAGCTCCGGGGGTCAATCAATGTCCAAAATGGTCATCATTTTAGCATATGTACCGATCAGATGCAGTTCTGAACCAAAAAAGATGAGCTATGTGACAAGCCAACCGAACTTATTCCATTGCGCCAGAGTTCCGATACTGTTGCGTTTGCAGGTGATTACAACGCGCAGACAGGAAAACCGAGCGCTTTGGCTGCCTGCCTAGCCGGTCCTGGTGCTGTGCCCTGTCAACGAATAGATAAAGGTGATCGAATTCTTCAGTTCTTAACAGAACGTTTGTTTTCGTCCAGTACGAACTTCCGAACTAGATTTCAACAGACGGTAAAGTGGCGCTCTAATTCCACTGGTACATTGGCTCGAATGGACCATACGGTACTAAGCTACCGTGGATGTGGTGCAATACAAAACTGCAGGTCCTATTACACCACCTGCGTTCCGTCTGATTACGCACTGGTTTTGATAAACTTCGCGTTTCGACTTACTGGTCACCGACAGCGCCAGAAAATTCGGCAGGTATATCACTGCTTGTCTGACCTAGCCATTCGCGCCGGCTTTGAATCAGAGCTAAGGTATGAGCTAAGCGTGTTGTGGCGTGGTGGTATTGATGAACAACGGGATCAGGTTAGACGAGCCACGCAACTTCTTCACTACTTAGTTGTAAATTCGGCTTACGTTGATTTTAATCAATCTGATGTACTCTCATCTATCTCACTTTCTTTTGGGAAAATTGAGGATCCAGATTGACAGATACGTCTGACAGATATCTGTCCCCAGTTTGCTTGGGCTTATTATTTTGCTACTCTTTATCCCAATTCATTTACACTTCCCAGCACTTTAAAGATAAAATAAACGAAATGGTCCTAATGTTGAAATTTCTCACACAGTTCTCTATGTTCGAACTAGGGAATTTACTTGATGTAAACCACATTTTTGCAACAGAATTCCTACCAAGAGCCTTGATCTGGTAAAAATATTTCAAATTTCAGGGTGACAGTAAGTGGAAAATCAAAGACCCAAGTACCATACAAAAGGAACTCGTCCGAGGAACACCGGAAACTCGAAGCATCAACCACCTGGTTTATCTGGACTCTGTGAAATTCCCAATACTTTTAAATAGACAGTATGTCTGTCTACTCGGTTAATTACCAAGATAAACGGTTAAATATGGGAAAAGAATAAGGCCAGGAGGTAAAGCACTTACCTGACCCGCCAATTCCCACTTGATGAGGATCACAAATTTACCTCGATGGGATTCGGAAACAGCAGCAGGATCGGCCGGGCACCATGTGTAAAGCCTCACGACACGATCGGAGTGAGCAACTGCGATATCACACGAATCTTCTGCGATGTGAGTAAAATGATAGGATCATCAGAATTGTCAAATGCCATGGATGGAGAACCATAAAACAATTTTGGGTCGGCTAACCTGTGTTTAAGATACAAACATCTTTGGCATTATAAGCCAGATGCTGATGATGAACCATTTTCAACAGTGGTGGTTGAGTTTTGTCTTTGTTGGAAGGTGATTTTGGTTCCAAGGGTGAATTGATCTAGCAATGAAACTATGGAAAATCTGACAGGAATCGACAAACCTGTGATGACTTTTCAGAATACGTAGCATCAAAAGCGTAGCAATGCGAATCAGCACATAATGCCAAAATCCATGGCTTTACAGGAAATTATTTCCGTTTGAGTAAACATACCTCATTTGGCCCGGCTACATTTCCTGCGGTTACACACAATACCTACGGGAAACAGGCTCAGTGATATGAGGTTACCTTACCATTCCAAGCTGGTTATTGGCTTTCCATATCCGCCTATGTTTGATAACACACAGAGAACCCTTGCTATTTTCAGCATCAGCCTCACCGTTCTCCATCAAGGGACCGGAATCCCAAAATCCGATGACAAACTCATTGTCCTGGAAACCAACAGAACACGAATATCACAGTAAAGATTTGTGATCACTCCTGCAACATGTCATTCAGTAATGTCAAACATGGAAATGTTACAAGGTTGAAGTGCTACGTCCCATAGCTCTTGAAGTTTTATAAAATTACCTAAAAAGACCAATGTGAAAGCAAACCGCGAGAAGTGAACGGCCTTCGTTGGACAAACAAAATATAATCAACGATTTCGATATACGGAACCCTGGATTCCCGGTGTCGGTTCGATGTCGTAGCCGACGAAGGCCGCTTTATGGACCACACACCGAAAACCCCAGAGAAATCCAACAAAAGATTACTGACTTTGACTACAGTGACGGTATCCACAAAGATGCTCAAAAAGCGGTCACAAAATTCGAAGATGTTGCTCGCATGTGAACACTCCATATAGCCCAAGGTTAGTGTTTCACAAACGTTATCTTGATAGACTTCAACGAGTTTGATGAGGTCCCATGGACTGAGATGCCCCAAGAACTCAATTTTAGAAGTTGATGATATGTCAATTTGCTAGATCAGAGTCTACTTTGTTAGTCATTCTCGGTGGCTGTGCTTGAATTTTCGTATCTCAATATTCTACTAGAAGTTCATTGTTATTTTTATATTCGTACTGACAGTTGTGTCATATCTCAACTAAACTGATGACCCCAAAAATCTAGCTCACAATCCGGTCAAAGGGAACACGTATTTAAAAAGGACGCCAATGTCTCGGCACGGTTGCCAGATACTTGGCTGCTGCCGATCAACTCCGGCAAGTGAGTCGGCCAGATAGTAGGCACACTAAATGAATGGTGTGCTAATCCGAAAAACTAGAAGCGAGCAAGACACTGGCGTACTACTAACTTTGTCCCCAAAGACGAAGCATGGCATGTGCCGCCGCACGAAGCACTCTCGGATTCAATCACCGTTTTGGTTACACCAGTCTCGGGCCCATAAAAGCCACCAGTGGTTGGGGTAAAATGAACTTGGGGACCAATGAACGCGCCAGCAACAAGACCGACTATACAGATACAAAGAGTGGATAGGGTTCCGTTAGGTAGCTCTACCCCTAAAATCGTAAAAGAGCCAGGGATGGGCCAACTGAGAGGTGCCACTAAACCCAATGAGCCAAAAAGGACTATCATCATTCAAGTGCAACGAAGCCCGAAAAGACTAGTATAAATGGTGCTCAGCGACGGCTCCGCTTGACAGAAAAGAGCAAAAACACGCGCGAGGCTCCGATGAAGGACGCTACGATTATCGTACCCACCTCTGCAGCAAAAGCGAGTTGAAACAAACAAGGTTCTAGGTCAGCCAGTTGGACAACTGTTGCAAATAGGCCGACAACAAGGCTGAGGCTATCAGTGCAAGATGCACTAATAAACGATCAGTCTCCGGCTCCCTCAGAAGATGGAGCGAAGTACGATTTGGGCGTTGAGGACATCAGAAATAAGAATGATAGCATTAAACAGGGTGTGAAAGTGAACCAGGAATCGCCCTCCTTTAAAGCAAAAAGCTTGACTCCATCGGGTCTTACGCCCGAGGGCAAACAAACAAGCGGCACGAGCAAAATAAGCCTCAGATCCCCTGATAAGGCTGTCTGGCATACAAATGCCTGCCGCCTCCGGAGTCAATGGGTGGAGCTAAAGACCAGGTCAGCAGACGCGGATGTTGCTGTTACAGAGATTTGGCTCAAGAGTGAAGATATGGTCCTGGGATTACAGGAGTACACCGAATATAGACAGGATAGAGTCAACGGGAAGCAAGAGCTAGCTGTACGGAATACCTGTCACCAATGGGAGTGGCCACTGCAGTTGGCTACTCCCAATATTCAGGTTACTGCTTGCCACCTATGGGTTGGATCGGGACCTACAGGCATTGTTTGCATTTATAGGGCATCAAATTCAACGGTGGTTGAGGATATTGGACCAATGCGTACCCTATAAGAGGTGCTTAGAATGGCCCATAGATCCCTAATCGTGGGTGATCTAAACCTTCCTGCAATAGTTTGGGAAGAAGAACGAACTCCTAGAGGAATTGCGGGATGGGCGCTACTGGATTGGATCTATTCATGTCCACCAGAAGCCCTCAATACTTGACTTGCCTATATCTCGAACAAGGTCAGATGTCGCTAGTTTCACGATAGAGGTTCCTCTAGGCAGAAGAGACCGCGCGGTCTTTCAGTTAAAAGTACTGGAGTAGTACATTAAGCCAGGGATCAAAATGGTCCGGTTGTATGGGCCTGCACTAAAAGAGTCCTCAAGCGGCAGCGTTAGGTATAAGCTGGGAACCGTCAACAGCTGAGCCTATCATCGAAGAGAGATGGACTGCAATTAAAGATATTTTAGTGAAGCCCACAGAGGAGTTTGCATCCCTGAGGCTCAGGCGACTCAGACAACGGCTACCATGGTAGAAACCATGTTTAGACAGGGCTCTGGCCACAAGGAGTTGAAAGTGGGCACCTTACAAAATGCCCAATTCGTATCAAACATGGTGTAGCTACAGGGCAGCAAGAAACCATGCGCAGGCTATGCAACAAATGACCAGTTACGACTATGGGCATGGGATTGCGATAAAAGCAAAACAGAACCCAAAGAGTTTCCATGCTTACGTCCAATCTCAGAAGGCATCATGAGAGGGGATTGGAAAGTTAGAAAGCATTGATGGATGTCTTGCCCTAAGTGATGAAGACAAAGTAAATGCCCTTCTGGATTTCTTTAAGGGAGTGTACAGACAGACAGCACCGTTGATTATGGCAGATTATCCCAGTGTGACACCACAGCTGACCGGAATAAATATGACACCAGACGAAGTCCTTCAGGAGTTAGCTACCCTGAATAAGTTCAAGGGAGAGGGACTTGATGGCATCCATCCTGTTATTGTTAAACCTCTAGCGGAGATACTCCAAGGGCCTCTATCAAAGTTGTTTCCGGCATCTCTAGATAAAAGCAGCATACCGGGAGATTTGAAAAGAGCAACCATAGTTGCTCTGCATAAATCTGGGTCAAAGCAAAAGGCCGAAAACTACAAATCAGGAAGTCTGACGTCCTTCCTATGTAAATGCCTAAAAAGGACTGTTCGTAAGCACATGGCTGCGTACCTCGTAGGGCATGATCTATTAACGCCAGCTCAACATGGCTTTATTAAGAGGAAGTCTTGTCTAACAAATCCCCTTGCCTTCCTCGATGGAGTCATACGACTCTTAGATGAAGGATAGCACGTCAAGGTCTAATACCTGGACTTCAGCGAAGCCTTTAACTCCGTAATTCAACAGGGGTTAAACCAAAAAATGCTTTTCTTAGGATCTGGGGGAACGTTAGAAAGTGGGCATACTGCTTTACAACCAACCACACCTTCCAGGTGAATGGTGGTATGCACTTATAGGTGCCGGCCAACATGACTAGCGGTGTCCCCCAGGGTTCTGTGCTAGGCTCACTGCTATTCCTGATGTTCTTCAATGATCTGCCACGACAAATCAACAACCCGTGCTTTATGTTCGCGAAAGACTTCAAAGTGGCTGGGGCGAACGTAAATCGGGACCTGCAGACTGTTATACGGTAGTCCGAAAACTGGGATCTTCCGCTCAACCTGGCCAAACGTCAGCTTCTAACATCAGAAGCTGAAGTTGACATGCTGAATGAAATTCAACTTGAGAGAGAGAAGTTAAGGACCTGGGAGTAGTTATACCACACGACTTCAAACCCTATCAACAATGTCAGAGGGCAGCCAACATAGCTCGAAGGGACTTCTTTTGTCTGCACTCCACGATTACGTATAGGAGACTCGAGGTTCTCGTCCCTCTGTACCAAGCCATAGTCAGGCCTCCCTTGGAATATTGTGTTCAGACAGGGCACCCTACATTCGGAACGACATCGAATGTCTAGAAAGAGTGCAACGCCTAGCTACAAGGATGATGGTGGTATAAAGAGGTAAGAGCTACGAGCAGAGACTCAAGGACCTTAACCTGTTCTCTCTAGCAAGAAAAAGTGTCAGGGGGGATCTCATACAAGTCTTCAAGATCATGAACAGTCTCTCCGGACTTAAGTTTGATGATATGTTCCAATTCATCCCCTCAAGTGGCACTAAGGGACATAGTTTAAGGCTGCAACGTAGTCTTGTTAGGCTGGACATTCGAGCCAATTTCTTTACAAGTCGCGTAATACCTTATTGGAATAGCCTACCCGAAAATGTGGTAAGTTGCTCGAACGTCATAGCCTTCAAGAGAGCATTAGATGACTGTTGGTCCTCTACCTTCCCTGAAACAGTTTGGTGGTAAATACCTATTAGTCCTGAGTGCCATTGCCTAAAACGTGATACTGCACCTCACTTTCTGCCTTTCAAGCAAAACCTATTGACTCCCAGTTTTGGAAGCCACAAGAACAGCCAACAATACACCAATCTGGACGCAAGAAAAAAAACGAGGTAACGCCCCGGGCATTACGCTCGAGGATTCTCCAGAAATGAGCTCCCGATCCAGCAGGCATGAGCAAGCAGACACAGTCTCACCAATGCTTGCAGTGTACGGGATAAGTGGGGAGAGGTGCGACGGCGCACCCCAGGTATAGACATAGTGACTTTAACCGGATCCTGGATGCTGAAGTACCATATCTTTCCGGGGATGGATGACTACACTATTTACAGACAAGATATGGTGGATGGCAGGCAATGGGCAGCGTTATGGTAATGATAAAATCAGATCACACGCA